ATTTTTAATGTTATTTGTATAGGAGTGTGGTCCAGTGGATCGACGATCTCATCCGCCACCGATGGGATCGCATCCACCCCCGGTGGGATTGCTTCCATTGCCGATGAGATCTCCTCCTCCATCCGGCACCTCCCCCGTGGATGGATTTGCTCACAATGATCTGTACGACCTTCTGACTGGATTTATGGTAGAGATGAGGGAGAAGGTGGGCGCACTATGAGGAAAGGTAGGGGTGCTGCGACGAGAGATGAGTGGCGAGATATCGAGTTTACCCCCAACATAATTTTTTTATTTATGAAATGAAATAACTCATTCTATTTTTTATTGGTGTTTCCTGATGTAGTACATCGACCTGCCCATGGAATTATTGCATGATCGAGCTCGAAGATATCCAAGATCATTCGATATTCCCGGTCGACTCATATTGAGCACGGAGTTGGTATGTGCTGTTACCATTGAATATCAGTCGATTCAACATATGGGTTATGAGTACGCATGTGGCCGAGTGGAGGGAGAAAGTCATGGGAGGGCTGTACGCATATATACATTCCAGTGATCGTGAATCATCACTACATTGTTGTAGAGATTGTTTTTGCTGATTCCATTATATATGTGTACGACTCCGACCATTCATGTCTGACACAAGGCCGATCGAGCTTAACTTGAAGCCGCTTTCAGTGATCGTTCCCTTGATGGCTGCCCGAGCCGGTTCGATTGTGAATGAAGGCTAGCCATCGTGCGGGACAAAACAACAGCGAGATAGCCGAGATCATAAGTATTTATATTTTTTTTAACTTGGAAACTTAGTTTTTAGTTATACGGTACCGAACTAACACGTTATTATTCAATTGTAGGGACGATTGCGGCATGTTTGCAATAAAATATATTGAATTTTTAAGTATAGGATATAAGGTTGAGGAAATCAAACAATCATGGATACAAATTTGGAGAAATAAATTAGCGTGCGATTTGTACGAATTCGAGTACGATCCATAAATATTGTACATTTAATTGTTAATTCATTTATCAGATAATTGTAAATATTTATGTATGAAATAATTGTAAATATTGTATATTATTTATTCATTGGTTTAACCTACTATATTGTTTATTCATTCAGAGGAATTTGTAAAATTTTCAATCGGCAGAAAACATACTTAAATATACTTATCCATTCGAAGTAATTGACAGAAAACAATGGAATATTTAACGACAATAATTATGCAACATACAAAGTACAATTAATAATATACATATTATATATC